TAAAATGAATCTTCTAGTAATTTGTCATAGATCAACAATTAGAACGAATTAAATATATAAAACTAAATTTTCGTTCATTTTCATATGAGTGTCTACTGAGATATAACAAAACCGATAAATTAAATCTAAATTGAATTACATCATACCGAAGTAGTATTTTCAAATTATCTAAAATACTTCAAAACATGTTGTACTCATCATGATTGAATATATGATAAAGAAAGTTTTATTAAAAACACAGCCATACTTCATAGTCGAATTTACATTGATGAAATAGTAGTGAAANAATCCAAAAAATTTTAAACACATATATTCTTGATCAGCTCGTCAAGCTCTATCTAACCATATATAAAAAAAAAGAAAAAAAAATCTGCTTTAATTTTGCATTTCCGGAACCTTACATTGATGAAATAGTAGTAAAAAATCTTTGATGATTTTCTCTACCAACATAGACGTTAGTTATGAATCAATGTTTATTGCTTTCGTTTCAGTCTGTAGTTTTTCATGTTCGAGTGTTGTATTCATTTATCATATTTAGCGATGCATAATCGTTATGTCTATCACTGCTAAAAGTCAATAGAGAAGCTAGAAAGACTTTAAAAATCAAAGTTTTTCCAAAAAAAATACATTAGTTTCTTCTGTTTAAGAGTTCAGACAAGCCTTTGTAATATCCTTAAATTTTATCATAAGTTGACTAAAATTATCTTTTTTTTGATGAGAGACGAGAACAGCTTAACTGTTCAAAATATTTGTCATAATTATTTATACAAAGTTTCATTATTTTCTAACAATTTTTGATAAACGTTTTGTTTTTCTTAAACACTTCTTCTGGAATATTTTTAACTATATTGGAAAGCATCAATGTCTGGTAAAAATGATGGGTGCGATATTATATTAATATTTTCTTATGACAAAATATTAACTAATATCTGAATGAGTATGAGATCAAACATCATTATTTTCTGATGAACTATTCTCCAAATATATACATGAAGTATCCATAGGAAACAGAAAAACTACAATTTCAAATGAAATCAATGTTATATTTATAGGAAATACGTACCACTGAAAGTATCGTCAATGTTGTAGTGATAGATTCAGTTGTTTAGTAAATCAATTTATTAATTTTAATACTTATCTTATAAGATTTATATTCAATTGTCGTTTGATAAGAATTGAAACATTTTCAATTTGCATAATTTGATATCCGATTCATAATTTATATGCACTCAATCTTCTATGAACTAATGAATAGTTTTATCAAAAAAAATTGTCGATAAAGAGCTATACTGTCATTCATAAGTATATTAATTATGAATCAAAGTCTGAGCGCAAATCTGTATACAAAATATATCTATAAAAAAAAACAAAAAAAAACAAGGGTCAAATCAATGTTCATTCAATTCTTTGTAGTTGCTGTTGATGAGGAATGATTCGAAATGTTCGTTGTCTATTTGATGAATGTTGTTCACTGGATGGAAATTGATGAATATGTTGATTTTGTAATTGAGATCGATTTGAATGAATCCGACATAGCTGACGTCTATGAACAGGATGAGAATGTTCAGTTGCATGACGACTATTAGTATGATGAGCAACATTATGTATTGTTTTTAGTCGAGATCCATGTCGATGAGATAGAACTGATGAATCCTAAAATAATAATAATAATTAAAATAATTGAATAATTAATGGTATTTACATGAAATGTGTGTCTATGTCGTGATACATGATTTGATGATTCCGTCATAGTTTCAATAAGAATTCTTGATCGAATATTATGAAAATTTTTTTGTAATTGTCGTTTTAATGATAAAACAAAATTTAATATTCGATGTGCTGTTGAAAGAACTACAGGTATTGTACAATGATGAGTTTGATGTCGATAATGTACTGAATATGTATCGTCCTCATAGAATGTAGCCCTTTGATGAACGGGTAATTCATCATATTTTTCAAGTTCATCACGAATTTTTGAAGCAACAAATGAATGTTTCATTGCTTTAATATTCTTTTTTCTATGTTCTTCCGTTGGAGAAATATTTTTTGTTTTTATTAAATCAAGTTTTTTATTTATTGCTCGAGTATAAGCTTCTCGAAGTGCTGTTATTCGATTCGATTTACGATGATCACCATGTGAACGTTCAATTATATCATGAATAAATTCTACATCAGTCTTATCTAAACCTAAAGCAATACTAGGAAAATGTCGATTTAATGATGAAGCTTGAGTAGGTATTTCATGAGAAATTGTTTCAGAAATAATAGTTTTAGTACCATTTGGTAAAGTTGAACATGATGATGATTTAGGACGACGTCGAAGAAAAAAATCTTCAAATGTATCATGTCGACAAAATTCTTCTTCATCCAAATTGGTTATTTCATCCTAAATTGTTTTATTTTAATTAAATAAGAAATAAATAATTAGATTACTTGTTTATATGATTCATCATTTTCTAATGTTGAATGAATTTGTGGTATTAAATCATCTTCATTATAATTTTCAGTTGGATACCATGCAAAAATTTGATCTTGTAATATCTTATGAAATTCTGTAGGATATTCACATAGATCTTTATCTGTATAAATATTATTTAATGATTGATTATCGACAAATATTGATTGTTGAATTTCATTATATAATTGATTTGATACAGATTTCATTTGAAAATTTTTATGTAACGAACGTCTCCATTGATCATCAGTAATTATTGGATGATGAATAGGAATGATGAAATTTGAATCTTGGTTTTTTTGTTGTTGTATTGTATGAGAATTTTGATTGGCATGAATAGTTTTTGTACGATGTTGATGATGCTGTTTCGAACGATGTAATGCTTGTTGTTGACGAAATGATGAAGGCATCTTTGTACGATATAAAACACTTTTATCACGACAACTCGGGACCAAACTGACTTCAAGTTTTTTAACTACCTAAATATGTTGAATAGATTAACATTCTTTATATAGTGTTTTAAATGTCGTTTTCTTTTTTTTTTTTTCTATTGAACCTTTTATCAAGGTGATTAAGCTCACTTGTATAGTATTAGTATTTGAACTTGTTTCAATGTCAATTTGTTCTTTTTCTATCGAATATATTGAAGAACAACGATTAATATGTGTTTGATCATTTTTTCTTGATAATATTCTATGTATTGGAATAATTGATTGTTGTGGTAGATTCATATAGATATGTGAAGATGAACATGGGTTTATATTATTGATTGATGATTTTTGATGTGATAATAATTTATTGAATTTGAAAGGAGTTATAGATGATAATAGTTTTGGACATAATTTAACATTTTCATAAATTTGATTATTATTATTATTTTTGTCTAATATTTGTGAATTCATGTCTATTTCTGTATTAGACAGAGTTGTCATCGATGTTGCATTCTCTAATATTGTTTCATTAGATATATATGTTGATTTTGTTTGTGATTTAGGAATATTGGCATAGGTATTATTTCGAAAATAATATGATGTCTCTGTTGAATGACCAATATCATCATGGTTTTGAATATAAGTATACGGGTGAGTATTAATATTTGTTTTAATCATAGGAGTTTTTGATGATGATAGTGGAGAAGAACATTGATATTTCTTATAATATGAAACAGAAGTGTTGGCATAGGATGACATATCCGCGTTTGATGATAATGGTAGAAAGTTTTTAGAATTATTGATTTCATTGGAATAATATTTTAAACCCATGCGGTTTTGTTTTTCGCTTATCGATATTGTATAAAATGTTTTAGTGAGTACACATTAGATAGTCATCTGTTTTGTGCATGTTAGTATAGTCTACATTTGTTCAAGTCAAGTTAGTAAATATGATCTCGTTTGTTTATTGTCATTAGAAACGAATGAACAAATCTATACTGTTATTGACATAGTGATATATATATATATAAATAAGCAGACTTTAAACTATTGTAATCTCATATTGATGACAAAAAAAAAATAAGAACAAAGAAAACAAAACTTAAAGATGTTGTCTGATTCGTTTTTTCTATCTTGTGTATGTTTTACTTCTCAATCAAGAATGATGAATATCGTAGAAAGAAATATTAGACATGTTAGAAAAAAATTATACGAATATGATTTTTTCTGAATTATTAGTTTTAACCACAATTAGATTAATGTCACACTATAAAAACAATTATATATAGTGACTCTCAAAATTATTCGATTAGATTTATCTTCAAGTTTTTTTTTTCTACCACTGTTGTAATCGTTAATAAGAATCTCTTAATAATGATTTAAGTAGAGAATTTTATTTCCAACGAGAAATTTCTAAGAGAAAAATTATTGCTAATTTTCTCAAGATAGAATCTCTAAAAAAATTGAATATCCAAGTTTTTTAGCTTCTAGATTTTGTAAACACTGATATTGATTATTTTCAAAAAGTTATAACTTGATCAATTCATGCTTTTTATATTGATCATATGACAACTATAGTAAATCAGTAGATCACTAACAATCATCGTTGACATCTTGAATATATATTTTTATTGTTGAAAATATCACAAACTACATTATTTAGTTTGTTCAACATCAGGAACTTAGAGAAAGGAATCTAATACTAAGTATGTGATGCGAGGGAAAAGGAGAAGCCGCAAAACTTTGACTTAAAACTTACATTCACTATTTTCTTCAAAAATATACGTGAAATTCTAATGAGTATATGACATATCTATCCTTGAATTTCTATATTTCTATTTTCTCTGAACGCTTTCTAATTAGTTTAAGCTTGTCAATTTTATACATGTATCTGTTTTATATAAGAAATTGTGTTAATTCTTTTCCTTATGATCTATGAATAATGTGTATTCGAATATTTATTTTATCAAGTCTAACTGTATATTTGATAGAGAACTAAAATTAGTACTAATTTCAATAGAAATGTGACTAATACTAATATATGTTCGAATGATAAGATATACGACGAGAAGTTGAAGAATGATGTCAAGTATACTGTTTGTTTCTGTAATTCTGATTTATACAATAATGCCTAATATTTTCACTGACAAAATCTATTTTCGCTAGGTACTCTGAATATATAAACCATGTTTGTTTTTGTTGCTGGCTCTGACTCAGCACTCTTGATTTATAATTCACAGATTTCTGTGGTAATTTCTTATTACTTAAACGAACTGTTTTTGTAAACACAGTCTAAGTCGAGTATTGAAGTATAAAGGAAATATTCGGATCTCGTTCGCCCTTCTTTTCATGGATCGTGAGAAAAACAAGAAAGAGACTAATACAGACCGTGACAAACGTTGTTAATATATGATCAAGGGCTCTATATCAATAATGTCTCGTTATAATATATAAACTACTTTCATATTGCATCTCTGCAGGATTAAATAAAAAAGATAGTGATTAAATAAAAAAGATAGTGAAAAAAGATAGTGAAGAAATGCATCTCAAAATAGATGGAATAAAACAATCTCTCTGTGATTAGAGACAACGGCTACATTATGTTTCTGACATATTAATCCCACAAGGACTGTGCTAAGAGCCTTTTTTTCTAATATGAGAGAATATTATAATGACAGAAAGAAAAATGAAAAAATGTTTCACAATAAAACCTGTTTATTCTATAGGATTATTTTAAGTTGGATTTAATTGTTCACAAAAATATAGATTTAAAAAAGTATTCTTCAGATCAAGCAAATCAGATATATATGTAAATAAAGATTAGATTTAGAGAGATTTAAAACGTGCATTGAAATATATTTTAGAAAACAAAAGGGTCATCATAGAAACAGCTTTAATATTTTTCTTAATCTCCTTACTAGCTATCGTACTGTTAGAAAATTAAATAGATAGTATCAAAGCTTTTAGAGTATTTAATTTGAGAGCCAGAAAACTTCAAGCATTGTTGCAAAAATTTTCATTATTTCCCAGCGAAACTCCAGTGCTCTATTCATTTTCGCTCACCTATTTCGAAAAACCGCTCGAGTCCTCCAATCCTAACGATCTCAGGATATTCCTAATCACGTCTTATCATTTCTTATGAAATTTCGAGATATAAGATACTTTAACAAATTTGAGAGACTATGTCATTAACACATAATACTTAATTTGCTCTTTTGTATCATAGTGACATGGACTAACGACAAAAAGTATAGAGACATCTACAGTTGTTTGTTTATTACAATCTTTATCAAATTTGAGACCACGTGAATAGTCTCTTAAACTTGTCTTGCATACTTATCTTTTATAGAAAATATCATAGAGATACTTATTTTAAGTTATGAAGATTTGTTGACAAGGAAAAATACTCGTTTACTGATTTTCATTAACACTTTTTCTTAAATTATAGGCCATTTATTCGTATGATTATCCATATTCAGCATTTGATTATAATTTTTACCTGAGATTATTTAATTATCGAAGTCAATCTAAATATTCTCAAGATATATGATTCAATTGCTACAATTTCTTATAGTTATTCATATAATGGCTATTCCTTTATAAAACAAAAGATTGTTATCGAAATACTATTTCATACGTTCGTATGTTATTCTTTGGTTTAATTTTATTTTTATTTATTAAGTGTAACTGATTTCTGATCAGATAATTTCAAATTAATTAATAATCAAATAGATTCTATATTTATATATTATGATGATTTACCGTGGTCTATTTTAATAGATAGAACTAATACGATATTTCATGCTCTTGTTCTGTTCTTAGTGAATGTACTAAATTCAAATTACCTGTGAATTGAATCAGTTGCTAGTTGAGCACCTTTTCAGGTACTTTGTTATCATCAATATGTTATAGATTCTTGGTTCGGTATCCTGCTGAGAATTAATTAAGCACATGAATATTTAAACAGAAGATACCGGGAGTTGTTTTTTTCTTAGGAGTCATTGGGTCTTTTTTCTTCTGTATTCTATATTACGGAAGTATGATGTTTTTTTTTTTTATAAGATTAATCTAAATACATGTCAATCATGCACACTTCTTAACATCAAATAATTCTTTAGCGGATCAGTGTTCTACTAGCGAGTATATTCTAGGCACATATATCTCTGTTGACTAACGTTCTCCTACATCTAACTTCTTAATATGAATCGATCTCTCCATGGATACATTTTAAACAAGCAAGATTGGTTTATATTAATAATTATTGCTCTCAAATTTTTATAATTAATTTAGAATACTGAATGACTTCTTAGTTCATGTATCTAAGATTCAAATTCTTCTTCAGTTCATTCTTTTTTTGTTACTCACAACTTCCTTTTGATTAGTATGTAATAAATATATCCATGTTATAATTTCTAATATAAATCGTTCTACATAATCTCAAATAACTAAATCCTATCGAATCTATTCCGAATATCTTACTCTTACAGCAGATTTAGTATAGTCGCTAGAAGTCTCGTCATCTAGGAAAACGTATATAAAAATTTAATTCGTTCGCCTGATATTTTGGCTATAAATAGAGCCCGAGAAATTTTAATTGTAAGCAGCAACTCGAGATCGATAGGTCCTTAATGCAAAGGATTTACAATAAGAATATTGACTTTTCGACACTTTTCCAAATTTTTACTATTTTAATATGTTGACCACCGTTTTCTTCTTAATAAATAGAGATCAGCATGTCTATACTGTGTCACAGATAGGACATTCCAATTTGCTATAATCTTGAGGTGCGGGAAAACCTTAATTATCTGTGATGATCTCTTTTTAGGTCTCTTCTCCATAAATAATTGCGATCGTGAAATTTTCAATGCTAAACTTGACTAGAACAGAGCACACAATAGAGAAATTTTTAAGTCTAATGGTTAACATTAGCTGGAGATAGGACGATTTCCCAAAGGTTATTTCATAAATCAGGCAAACTAAAACCATTTGGCATAAAAATTTTATTAGTGACAGAGGCAACACTGAGCTGTCGAATCAAGGGTCTAAATGTCATAAGATTTGTTTTCTATGTTGAGATATTTTCGTGTGAAGGGAAAATTTATGTTGACCTTGTAGCTTGAGCGCATGAAGAACAATTAAGTTCATGAGATCAGAGATTTCAACATGTTCTATTTGTGGTCAAACTATGAGACTAAAGTATTAAAATTTTAGATAGTTTTTACCTGAGAGCAAGACTTTTTGTGACTATTTTATATCGAAGATTGTACGAATATTCTTCTTTGAACACTCAAAACGTCGACTAAAATAGATGAATTCTATGTTTGTTCTTCGCTTCACATGCTCGTCTTTGTTATTATATCGTAGAGTTTACATAGGTACTATGTCGTTTTTTTTTTAGCATTATAATCGGAATGTTTTTATCTATATTTAATTTGACTACCTATTATTTATTAATTGTTTTTATTCAAACAATCATTAGTGATCCTATTTGTATTTATGATGTTGAAGATGGATTAAAATTGGATATTCGAACATTAGGTTTTACAAATGGCAAAGTACCTAAATATGATCAAATATCTAATATAAATCCAACAAAAAAAACTCTAAGTTGGAATGGATGTTTTTCATATTCTAAAGTTGATAATGGAAATTGTACAAATGCTGCAGCATGTTATAGTAAATTAGATATTTTTCTTCATCTTATGTTTTAATAAAACTTTTTTTTTGTTTTTTACATAGCTGATTCAATATCAAATATGTCGATAATTATTGCTAAACAAGATTCAGTTCAATTTAAATATAATTATGGTTCATCCATACTTTCATATCAATATTCAAATATACATTTAACAGTATTTTTAATATGTCGTGTTGATGGTGAAGATACATCCTTTGGTTATCAAGTTGATACATCGACATATACTATATATATACAATCTCGATGTTGTTGTCCAGGGATGTGTTCTTATTCTACTCATTCAATAAGTCCTGTGGTTATTCTTATTATTATAATTATTATTTTTCTTTTCGGATATATTATTGGTAGTATAATTTTTTTAAGATATGATCGTAATTTAACAAACTCAAATGGTCTTTCGTGTTTAAATCTTCAATCATATAGACGAAATCGAACATTTGATTATCAAAACTTATAAAAAAGAAAATTGTTTTTTTTTCTTCTTTACCATAATCAATGATCTCTTCAAAATCCTAAATAAGATTAGCAGAAGAGAAAAAGAGGAGAAAAAAAAAAAAAGATTTACATGAGTGATGAACGTCTGCAAAACTAGTGTTAACATCAGACATCAACATACGAATAATTGGCGAACGATGTTGTCTACGATTCAAACGAGTACTAATCACAACCTCATTTACATATAAAGTAAATTCCCTTACACTAGACAAATAGTTTGCCATCATAACAACACAAAAAAAAAACTAGGTATGTAGGACAAATTTCATCTTGCCTCTCGTAATTATTCATTAGAATCATAAACAATAACTTGAACTCAATAATAAAAACTTTAATAATAATTTATAGAAAAAAATTAAAAAAAAAACACATTCATATTTGATTGCATGCCAATTTATCTCCGTTTGACGAATATTCATCTGATGTTAGAGATCAATCCGTAATAATAAAGTTCTTTCATGTTATGAAAGAAGAAAATAAGGGTATTAATCTTTTTCCTAAATTATTTTCTTCTTTTTTTTTTTTTTGCTCTTCCCATATTCTTATTGATGCACATATACTTTCAGATATTATTAATCCAGAAAAGAAAAAAAAAAACGACTCATGCCATTATTTATATTCAATAAAACTTGCTCGAATTCTAGTCATGAAAAAATGATTAACATTGATGCTATTACTAAGCAAATATCATCATTTACTATTGTTCAACGAATTATTTTTATTTTTTCAATTGTAAGTAAATTGAAATATAAAAAAAAAACGAAAGAAAAAGAAAAAGAAATATTATCTCAACAAATAAAAACTACTTTCAGTAATAGATCTGGTTAGTATCCATTGCCATGTCAAAACTCAATCGAATAAATATTTGTCATGCAATATTCTCATTCAAGTCGGTTAAACAATTTTTTATGGATCATTGAGAAATAAAGAATTATGTCAAATATCCTTATCACCTTTCATTTCCTTGTCATTAATAGTACTTATTTAGCTACGTTTTGACATAAAAAATTCCATGGTAACTATCGTCTTTGTTTAACACCGGAAAAATTATAGATAGACATGTATAACAAAAGTTACCCTCAGGCATTCATTGTCATTTTCTTGTCTCGAAGGACAAACAAATCTTAAACATTTCTTTCGATTATAGTTATTTGTTTTTTTTTTTTTTTTTCTTCGATAAACTAATCTTTTTTATAGGTTATTGTCTTCTGGATTTTATTTATAATAATTTATCTAATAAATCGTCTTATTATTCGACTTATAAGAAATTTAGAATATTTTCATCATAATTCATCAACAATATCAAATGATAAAGTTTGTCAAACATTTGTTATATCATCAAATCAATATGGATCTATACGACCAATACAATCATTCAATCGTTCAGATAGTTTATTTTCAAATACAAATGAAAAAATTAATTTAACTATTAATCATTACTCAAATATAATTGATAGTTCTTCACAATATCAACAATCAAAATCCTATCTATTAAAACATTATTTAAATACTTATAATCCATTACATATTGATTTAATCGATACTAATAAAAAACCTAATATAACAACAAATGTCAATGATATATTCTATGAAGAAATATCAAGTCTAACAAATACACAACCAACAGATAATTGTTATCCAATCAATTGTACAAATAAACAAAAGATACATCAAAATAAACGATATGTTCGCCTCAAAGAACAAGAAAATTGTTCAGTTATAATAAGTAATATCGATGAACAACCATCACAATGTAGTACAAAATTAACAAATATTATATTACCAGTTGTAATGATTACGGATTGTTCTAATAGTCAACGATTACACACAGACATTATTGAAATGAATGAAAATGAATAATCAACAAGAGAAAAATTTAAAGTATTCTTTATTCATTGGTTCTATTGAAAAGTAAAGAATAATGTCAAATAAAATCGTCGATATCTGATGCACTTATGATAAGAGAATCATTTGCATGGAAGAAAATTTCATTCTCATACATGTTTTATTATAACACAATACAAGGTTAAGGTGATTTACATTTGAATGATCAATCATATTCATACATTCATTTTCTTTTCTATCGATTATAGTGGTAATGTTGTCGTTTTGATGATGGTCTTAAAAGGTATGATGTTGTTTTTATTTTTAGTAATAATGCTTCATTATATTCCAAATATTATTCTTCCCTCTCTTTTTTTATTTTCTTTTGCATACAGTGTTCATAACCGACGAGTGTTGTCTCCGACGTCACTGAACACGAAGCGATCGATTTCTTTTCTCCCTGTCTCTTTCTCCCTTCTCTTGTCTCACTCTAATTTTGGGTTACACTATTTCTCGCGCTCGTCGTTTGACTAGATTATATATATCTGCTTTTCAAACATGAGCACAAACGCGCATGTCTTCTTCTTCTTCTCATTCACTCTTTCAACGTACACGTTCTAACGAGACGAGCAGACGATTGTGAGAATAAACTGACGAGACTGGTCAGTGAACACGACCCACATCTCTTTACTTCTATCGGCATTTGTCTTTTCTTCCCCATTTTCTCCCTTCGTGTTGTTCTATAATTGAACACATCGACCTTCTGTCCGTTTGTATATAAACGCACTCACGTTCATATACGAAAAGAGAGAAAACGAGAGTGAAAGAGACAGAGAAAGAAACTTCCGCTTCAATATACTTTCGAACGATACAATCATATGAATGCTGTTACTTCACACACATTTATTCGTTCATTCATATCATTGTGAACATCAATAACCTTTAGGAAGTGATTTTATTTTTATTCATTGATTATATTGTATTCAGGACATGTGAATACAAAAAATATTATTCTTCATATTTATATATATATACATACCTTTATCTAATAAAAACATATATATATATATATATGTTTTATTATTATGACTCGTTTTGAAGAAAAACTTTATTTACAGAGTGTTTTTGATGCTATTGATCAAGTTTATAAAATGAAAAAATCACAACAAATATCATCATATGAAGAACGTTTACGTGCTTCATTTAATAAATTACTTGTACCAGATTGGTATAATCATGAATATACATCAACAAATGGTTTACGAAAAACAAAATCTCATGGTCATGTACCACGTATCAAACGAACAAATCATAATAATAATAATAACAATAATAATAATGATGATACACCTGATACATCAATATCATCATCCATTAACTCACCTCATTTATCTAATGGTACATATAGACAATCTTATCGTCATCGATCACCTAGTCGTTCATGGTCAGAAAAACCTCCATTAAGACGTGATTCAACAACATCAAGTTATGATACAAATACAAGTATTGTACATGGTCGACGATTTACAACATCAAGTAGTTCATCATCATCCTATGCACCTGGTCTACAACGTGTTACTCAATCATCAACATGGTATAAACCACGAATATTTACAACAAAATTTACAAATGGTAATACAATAAATGGACATTCAATTGAACCACCTAAACCTTTACCAAGATATTCAAAAATTGGTAAGTGAAATTTGATTATTGATAAGTTATACATATGTATATATATATATATATGTATATCATAAGTGAAAATAGTGTTGATTATGTCAACTTTCAATTTTGTTAGCATCGTTTATCGTAATTATGTAATGATATATAGATTAGATTAGATATAGTTTCTCTCGATATAACACTCTTGTCAGCTTTCTTATTTCTTTTTCTTACAGTTATAAATTTTGAAATTCAGCATAATATCAAGGAATTCCAGCACATCGAGTTTTCTAAATGTATTTGATTATAAATGCATTCGTTAGATAGTTGTATCTCATTTGTGTATAATAGATTAGGAAATACGAACAAACAAACGTGATTGACACATGTTAGTCATGTCATTGATATATATTTATGACAGTATAGAAATATTTATCAGTCGTAAATATATATATATATATATAGTTACTCATCAATCTCGCCCTCTCGTTTTCTATTTTTGTGCTTGATAAATTCTAAATTTATTATATTATGCATCATGTCTATTGAAGCGATAATTGATTGGTTTTTTTTCATATACACACGTCAGCGTATGTGTGTGCGTTTGTTGATGCATATTATAAGAACAAATATAATGTTAACAAGTATGAGCGAATGTATTGTTAATGAGTTCACTTTTAAATGAATCTCATACTTTATATGATTGATTATGAAAAAATAGATGTATGATTAGTATTATTATCTTGGATGGTTAATAGTAGAGAAGGAAAAAAAAAGAAAAGAAAATAACATCCTATGTTAATCTGATTGTTATTGAGAAGAATATTTATGCATTTTTTATAGTTATAAGGAAAAAAAGGTAGAAGCAAGGAAGGATCTGTAATATATGCACTGCTGACGCTGTTGGCTTCAGATGCTATTCAAGTCACAACCATTAATACTGTAGTCGCCTTGTCGTCAGTTTTTCTTTGCCTCGAAAAGTAACAGAACGATATCCTTCATAATATGCCATACGTACAACGAGTTTTATATATAATATGTTTTAAAGAAAATATGTATGCTCACAAACAACAGAACGACGTAGTGTCAATGACAAGAAAAAGAGAAAGCAAAAAAAGAAAAATGTCAACACGGACGAACGTGTAGTGCGGATGTCTGTATAGTTTTTCACTGTGTAACTTACACCATAGAGAAAAGAAAGACAGCAGGACGCAGTAAAAAGTTGCTCTTTTTCTTTCATTCTATTAAAAATCGTCAAGTTACGATTCTTCGTTATTGTTAAAGGAAGACATGTAGAATCAGATGGACAAGTGCCAGAGAGAAGAATAAAAAAGAAATTATGGGATTCTGATCATTTGTTTGACGAATCATTATTTTTTTTTACACCCCTTCTTCTCTTTCTTCTCATTTTTGCTTTAATAACGAATCAAACAAATATATCCACCTGTCGACCGTCTCTTTTCTTTTTCATTCCCATCTTTATGTGATCAAGTTTAACAGCAAAAGAAAAAAATTAACCTTGGCTTTGTATTCATAGTTGAATCATGTTCTTGTTTCTATTTTTCTTCTTCGATTTATTTTTGTGCTTAGTTTTATTACATTTCTTTTTTCTCTCTGTGTGTATAAGAGTACGATTATTTTATTTGTACATGTTATCTTTAATGACTTTCAAATCAATACATGTATGCATCATCATCATCAATCGATTCATATCTCCCTTTTGGCCAAAGAAGAAGAAGAAGAAGAAAAAAGAAGAAAGAAATGATTGCATATATGGTGCATTTGTACATACGAGAATTTGCATTTGAAGTTTTTTTTTCTTCTCTTTTTTTTTGATTACAAGCATGCGTACGTGCTTCAGGCCTCCTCAATAGGCAATGATAGTAATACTATTTGAATGACCTCCGTCTTTTTTCATGTTTCATGTGTTATCTATGTCGATTCATGCATGGTTTCTTTTTTTTCCTGTTTCATTGTTATATTTTAAGATCCCGGACGTAAAAATTCATTGGATTCTTCAACAACAAAAATTGATAATGTTCATCGTCCTATAAAACCACGTACGATGGCTCAAGCACAAGTACCACCAGAAGAATCTTTTCTTGATGCATCCGCTGACGGTGATGTGACAATTGTACAAAACTGTATGAAAAACAAAATTGTTTTTTTTTTTAAATGAAAATTGTTTTTGTTTGCATTTGTTTTTAGCATCAATACAAGAAACAATTGAACAATCTATTCTTCCTCAATCTATTATAGATAATAATGAAAGAATAACAACTAATATACCACGTACAAATTCATCAAAAAGTCTTACATCAGAAGCTGAATCTTATCGTTCAGCTAATTTACCTCCAATAGATAAAAATCTTTTAGGAACAGATTCATCATCGTATGCTAGTGTCAACGATCGATGTTTATCACCATCAACAGCTTCATATCATACAGCACGAGCAAGTGATACGTCATCATCATCATCATCAATAACTGGATATGAAACACCAACACCAAGATTAGATGATGATGATGATCATGCTACATTATCTTCACATAGTTCACTTTCAGATTTAAGTCATGCTGAAACCTTAGAACCAAGTGCTGAAGGTAATTATGATCGAAAGTCTTTTCGTTAGAATAATAATAGTAACAGACATTTTTGTATTGATTGAATTCGAGAAAAAGCACTTTGTATACATACAATCAAAACATTCGATTGATGAAAAAGGTTAGTCAAGTTTGAAGTGGATGGTTAAAATGTAAACAGAAGAATTACGGAGACATGCAATTGTTGCATTGGAGATTGTAAGAAAAAAAAAATGTTTTTGCCATTTTCACTGCATGATTTCATACACAAACAAACGTCTCATACGTTTAACATCAAGGTAATTATATGTCAGAAAAACTTCTTTTTTCTCTAACGATTGACGTACTAGGAATCTAAGACATATTAGCTGTACATTGAATTTTTTTTTTCCTTTATCATTAATGATTGAAAGATAAAGTGCATAGTATTTCTTTTTCGTATTCCCTTGAGACATTCGACATGAAAGAACCGCCTACAATTGCCCCATGTAACTCATTTTCCGGCGATTAAAATCTTAATACACATATATAAACCAATATAATCGTATATACACATGTCATTTTTCTATCTTTTTTTACTACCTCATAGACAACAATTGTTGTTATTTGTAAGAGAATAAATATTCACTGTCACTATGATGAAGAAACAGAAGAAAAAAAACGACGCATGCGTGCACATACATAGATTTTTTTTTATTTTCTTATCATCACTTATTTTCTTCTTCATTCTATTCCAATAGATCTCGATATTGTTGCCCTATCAATCGGAGAACAAAAATCTATTATCATTCCAACAGTTGACATTGACATGGAAAATGCATCATTACCATCATTAACATCAACGTCATCAAATACTGATAGTTTAGCAACAAATGATTCACGTCCAAGTGAAAATCCAAATTGGTATGATGGTTCTATGGAAACATGTATACATCAAACAGGATCAATTCAAAATGATTCATCTAATATACGTGAAATTACAAATGATGAAATATTACGTGAAGTTGATATAAATGCTGTTGGTGATGAATTTTTCTTATTTTCACCACATAATACAACTGATGATGAATCAAGAAATTTATTAAATGATAATAAACAATATAAACATATTGAAAATTTAATTCAAACATCAAATCGTATATTTGCAATGGATGATAAAACAACAAATATTCATCATAATTTTCATTATTCATCATCAAATGATCCATTTGGTTTTGATAATAATTATAATAATAATTCATCAATTATGATAACAAATTTAGATGATATCGTAATTGATGATTATGAAAATAACCATAATAATTTTCTTAATACAAATTATCGTCGTCCTATACAAGAAGATATTTTATATGAAGTTGAACATGAAAATAGTTTTTCTGATCATAGTCAAAATACATCATCAATTATAGCAACTAATGATAAAGTAAATCTAGTGTTGTTGCTGTTTTCTTGCCTGTCTCATATCTATATATATATATATATATCTTATCATACGTATATAATTTCTGTTTTAGACATCGATCAAAGTTGATGTAAATATGGATTATTTGACGTCAACTGATAATCCTATTCTAAATAATATACCACAAATATCAATCAATGAAAATGATAAACAAACATCTTCATTATCAACAACAATAAACAATGATAATAATAATAATAATAATAATGTTTTACCTATTTATATATTACCACCTTTATATACAACATCAACAACAAATGAACCATCATCATCATCTTCACTTCATATTAATACAAATGAATATTTTCAAAAATGGGATTCATCTAATACACAATATTCTGAATTATCAAGTCCATTAGTATATACACCAAAAATTCGTCATCGTCAATATTCTGTTGGTTCCTATTATGATAATAAGACAACAGCCGTGACATTAAATCCAAATTATTTTCTTGGTAGTGCTCCTGTTAGTCCATTAAGTCGTGCTTCAACAACAAGTAGTGAATCACATTATCATATTCATCCACATCATAGTCCTACATCCTATGATAATGTTTCATTAAATGCATTACGACGTGTTAATCCATTTTTTGAATCTAATACATATTCATCATCATCAACAACAACAACAAATGATCATAGACAAACAATAGATTCTCATTTATCATCATTAAATACAGATGAGAAAACTCATATCACTATATCTACAACATCACCCAAAATAACATTAAAATCAGTTGAAAAACTGATTCCAGTAAGTTTTCTTTTTCCTATATAGAATTCTGTTGATTTCAGTCAACAAGGGATTTGGTAGAAAAATCAATAATAATATAAATATCAGATTACAAAAAAAAAATTCTTGACATAACTCTTATATATCTAGTGACATAATGAAAGAACTTGATCAATATGATTAAATGTTTTTCTTTATTCGAATTTCAAGGCGAAAATAAAATATTGTTCATATTTTATTTAGGTAACTGAAACTGGACCAACACAAATTTTACCTCAACCTATTGCTTCACCATCGGCAGTACGTACAAGTTCTGTAACATTTTCACAATATGAAATTCCAACAACTCGTCCTAAACCAATTCATGAAATTCCGAAATCACCACCCCCACCACCTCCGCCTCCTCCTTCTCGACCTGTCAACTTCAAACAAGCACCATCATTAATTCAAGAAAATCTTACTTATGAGAGTCCTATATTACCAACTCGTCCTATTATATTCAAACAAAGACCATCATTAATTCATCAAAATGCAACTTATGAAAGTTCTCCATCACCAATTCATTCGTCTCGATATGAACAAGAACCATCACTTGTTCGACCAAAAACAAGTCGAGGACGAGTTCGTCCATCACCAACAGTTGTAACACGAACAAAATTAAATGAAAAAGAACATTTACAAAATATCTATCAAGATATTGATTCAGCAATAATAAATACAAATCAAATTCGAACAAAAAATGCTGATTTACAATTTATTCGTGATGCTATTGAACGTGTTTTTGAATTTCATGATGATTCAACAAGTGAATCAAGTATACATTATGAAGATGTTGTTGATAATAATTTAAATGAAACAAAAAAAAATTCTGTTCAATATCCAGCTGTTGAAGCTGTTCAACGTTTTTATGATCATAAAATATTATCTGATATTAATAAACGTATTCCAAATGAACAAATTACTAATCTTGATGATATTATTATTAGTAATTCATCAATATCAAATCAATTACGTAATCATTCATCTGTTGTAAATCAACAAAAAAAAGATCTATCAAAATTCAAGACATCCGAATATGAACGAACAAGTTCAGAAGAAGTTGATGATACATTAAATGATATTGAAGATGTTGATTATCATGATGAAAAATTAAAACGTCAAATAATTAATAATCATAGTACAGATACAAGTAATGAAAGTTCACCATTACTTTCATCAGATGCAAAATTAAAAACAAACATTTTATCACAACAAACACAAACAATAGAACGAGTATGTTGTCATTGAACGAATGTATTTCCAATTTTTTGAATCATTAGATAAATTTCCCTTGTGAATATTATAAACATAAATGGATATTTGAAGATATTTTCACATCAGTAATTACATTTTTCTTTTTTTTTATGTTCCCTTGATATTCAGCAATAATTTCATTCTTAGATAAAAGATTCATTATTTAACAGTTTGAGTAATAATCAATAAATGTAAATTTATATTCAAAATGGATTTTTCTGATTTTGAAAAAAAAAAGAATAATAAGTTGAATTTAATTCTAACTAGCTAGTTTTTTTTATGGATTAATAGATGATTTTCTCGTTGATCTATTTTTTGAAGCATCTAGAATACAAAAAGGAAAAATATCATAATCCATTGAGAATATTCATTTTTTATTAATAAATAAAAAGTGTATAGAGAATCGAAAGGAAATGGTCGATTATTAATATAAAATGAATGCTAGATTCTCTATTTTTAAAAAAATCAATGTTAGAAAATTTATTATGATAGCAACAAAAAAAAAAAGGAAACCTTAATTTATCTAAAATTATTTTCATGTACATATAAATTTCTTTATCTTGTCTTATCAAATTTCGTTAGAAGTATTTTTTAAATCTTTTCATTGAAAAAAAAAATATCAATTCTATTCTTCGTCTTCCTTAACCTTTTTTTGATCTCATCAGGACAAATGTCTTGACATTCTAAGACAAGTACTCCTACGTATACAATATTGAGACATACATTTTTCTCGTTTTTTTCATCATCTTAAGAAAATGAATACTTGTGTAAGTGGCCATCCATAAAGAAAGTCTAGTATGATAAAAAAACAACAATTTTCTCTCTATTTTTACTTCACTGAGGCGAAAGAGTGTTTGGTTTTTGGAAGTTAAAAAAATATACTTCCCATAGTATCACTCCAAAAGCCTAGTATTGTACTACAAACTAGAATCATTACAATATTCTTATTATAACTTTGACCTGTATTTTACTCAACTGGTTTTTAACAAGCCCATTTCCGCATAATTTATATACACTACTGGTCATAAGACCTGGAATTTGTGATACTTCCTCACAGCTTCGATAATTTTTCAGCAATTTTTTAGCAGAGATAGAGCTTAAAATATTGCAATCGTCAGCACCAACCCGAGCTCTATCGATTGACATAGTGTGGAGTTTTTACTCAAACACTAGTCTTATCTCTGTTTATCTTTAAACCAATATTCACAGTTTTTATGAAAAATAAACGAGATGCTAGAAGTCTATGAACAATAAATGCTCATTACGTATTCCTGTATCGCGAAATCAATTTACATTAACAAGCTAAGAAATAATTTAGAAATTCAACAAGACTTCTAGCATCTCGATTGTTTTTCGGAAAAACTGTGAATGTTGGTTTACAGGTAAACAGAAGTGAAACTAATATTTGAATCATAACTCCATACTGTCTTAGCCGATAGAGCTCAGGTTGGTGCTGGTGATCACATTTTTTTAAAGCTTTATATTCGATTTTAACCTGCAGCACGTTATGTACAAAAAAATTGAAGAAACGTTGGTATTCTATAACTCTATACCGAAGGTCTAGATCTCCTTATCCTTTTGGAGTATAGCTTATGTAAAGAGTTCGAAGTGAAAAATCTTATAATCTTCAAAATTTGTATGACAAACAAAAAAAAATGAAATATTCATAATAAATGTCTGGATGTCTTTTATCAATGATTTCGAAGTTGTAAAAACTACTAATACTTGATTAAATATGATTATATCTTTTTTAAGCAAAAACCATCAATACGAACAAATGAAATTCCATCAAATGTATCCTCTCAAACAACACGTTCAATAGTACCACCAATTGAAATTGTAACTGAAATGGTGATTGAACAAGATGATATAGCTAATGATAATGGTGAAATAGATCAAGTATCAGGTGATATGGTTATATTCTATGATGATATTGAAATAGTTGAACATTTAACAAATTCATCTTCATCAGAATCTGATTCAGCATCATCAAGAACTTCATCACATCATTATTCAAAACCTATAAATACTAGTATTACTCAATCATCATTACCACCACCACCTATTCCAGCACGTACATTAAAGCCTATTCATTTACTTAATAATAATCAACAACAATCATCAACACCAATAAATAAAATATACGAATTAGATAAATTTTTACTACGTAAAAAAATTGATGTTAATTCTGTTAATGATATAATAAATCGTACAGATTATATTATTGAATCATCTGTATCACATCGTCATCCATCAGCACGACATTTTGTTGGAAAATTAAATAATGATGATATATCATCAATAACAACACCAATACAACCAATAATAATCAATGGACATGAACATAAACGTATAATACCAATAACAAAAAATCCATTTTCAACATTACCATCACGTTCATCATCGACTGTATCAAAAAATGAAAAACATCGTTCAATTATAGCTGATACAAATGCATTAGTTAAACAAATACAAAATTCTTTAAGTCGTAATTCATTACATGATACACAAATTAATGCAAAAAATTTATCATCATCAACGAAAGATTTACGTGCATTTGTATCAACAACATATTCACCATCACATGAAAATATGATTGATGATAATGGTACTGTTCATATAAGACCACAAATAAATAATAATACAGATGATCAAACATTTAAAAGACATGCACGTTTATCAAAAAGTTTTCATAATGTTTCAGAATATAATAGTACTGATCAATATCCTAAGAAAGATGATAATAATAATAAACCAACAACAAAAACACAACCATCAAAATCTGTTGAAAATAATCTTAATCAAGTTAGTCAAAATCAAATTAAACAATCACATACACCATTAAATTTAACATCAGTTGTAACACGTACTTCATCATCAGCATTACCTAATTCAGATGATAATACACGAATGTTGGTAAGATTATTTTAAAATTAAATTATTCAGAAGTTATACATTCATTGAGAGATGTAAAATAAACGTTAAGTTATTTTTTTTTTTTTTAGAATACCACTATAGAGTCTGAAAAATTTATAAGCATCCAAGAACTAGCAGATTTTGTGGTATATAAAGTTCGAAATTTCTCCTTTGATTACTAATGTCTGTCTCAAAATTTAATGGCTATGAGTATTTTTGCAATAACGGAAGAATGACATATCAAACTTAAATTGATCAGCTATTGAATAATAAGATGATTTTCAAAAACGATATTTCTTGCAATCTACGCAATGTCGATATTCCTAGATTGTTCCATTTGAGAGTTATAAAACATTAGTTAAGAGTTATCACTATTTTATTGAACTTTTCTTTTCATTTGCAGCATAATATTTTTCGATGCTATCAAAATGAAGAATTCAATCTTGAAATATGTCATAAAGATAATAAAAAAGAATCATAAAAAAAATTCTTTTACAATTTAAAAAAAAAAGAACGTGCCTTTCTCGAGATAATCAATTCTCAAACAACCAGCAATTTACCATACAAGGACGCCATAATTAACTCTATTTGAAAAGTTGAAGATATTCAAAATGACACGTTCATTTTCTTTTTTCTAGGCAACATTTCAAAATAAAAAAAAAAAGAAAATCTGTATTTTGATATTTTCGGATATTGGGGTATGCTCTGATAAAAGGGTGTAAAAGCGAAAGTAAAATTTTTATCAATTCAAATTGTAGTAAATATATTTCAAGACATGCTCTATCTGTTTTAGTATAAGTTTGTTAAATTTTAAATCAATTTATAAACATAATAAAATAATAATTTTTATATTCAAATAGACAATTTTTGTTTTATTTCTTCTAATTTTAGTCAATGAAATGGTATACAGGTCAAGTAAATGAAAATTCCGAAATATCTTATCATACACATCATATTGATGCTGATGATCTTCTTTATGGTTATATATTAACACATAGTAATCGTGAAACTCAAGCATTATTTATGCGTCTTCAATCATCAAATGATCCTCGTATACATGCAGCACTTGATGATATACGTTCACGTGTTGCACAATTTGATGCATCAAAAACTCGTGAAGATTTACATGTATTTATGAGATATCTTGAATCACGTTTACGTGATTTAAATAATAATAAAACGCCATCCTATAATGATATAACAAGTGGACAACAACAACAATCTGATAATATATCAATAAAAAGTCGAACAAATGATCCTAATAAAGAAACATCAACATTAAGACAACTTGGTCGACAACATCTTCGTTCATCAAGTAGTACGGGAAATGCAACAAATGGTAATCAACCAGTATCATCTCGACGATCAAGTCAATCAAGTGCTAATCAAGGTAGGAAAAAGAAAAAGAACTAATTAAATTCATTTTAGATATTTTATTTAGAAAATTCAGCAGTTTTTGATGAGATGTTAAATACTGTACTAGGTCTTCCAAAAAAAGGAGTATCAACATTACCACAAATGTATCCTTCTAAACAAGAGAAATCTACTCCTTTAGTTCAAACACAAATGACAACAAATACAATGACAATGAATAAAACAGGACGAGATATTGGTAAACGTTTATTTGAAAGTGGAACATATAAAGATCCACGTTTAATTTATGATGTAAATAAATAAATACAAAATAGTTGATATTGAAATTTTGATTTTCTGTTTGTTTTTTTTTCTAGGGACCGAGAAAAATAGAGAAAGAGGAAGAACCTCTTGAAACATCCGTGTGATAATTCAAAACGGTCATGTGTGCAATTCATGTGTTTCTCTTTCTCTACTGTGATATAAAAAAAAAAAACAAAAAAGAAATATTCTTGCCAACAAATATCTTAAATTATATTCACAGAGAATGACTCTGTGTATGTTTAACTCGGTGTTTTTCTTCTTCTCTCTAAACAACATGCTTTCTCTCTACTAATCCGAGCCAAATTCGAGTTCTATATTGGCTAATTATTTTTTCCTTTTGTGCATCGTTTGTTTGTTTTCTTTTTCTTTTTTTTAGTATCGAAATCTAATATGCAAATATAATAATCTTTATTTGTACATTTCTTTTTTTTTTTGGTCTTTTCTCTAACATGCGCTTGTGTATGCTACATTTGATGATCTGTTAGTTATTTGTCATAATAAGCTTTACTGCTGTTTGTGTACAATTTTAGTGTTCAAGTGGAGAATCTTTTTCTTTTCTTTGTTTGTTAAAGGTTTTCTTTCTTTTTTTTTTGCACTAAATCAAAATATTATGTTGAATTTCCATAAGCAGAATATATAATAGTTATGCAAACATCAATTTTACTTTTGAAAGAAAGTTTTGTGATAACACAAAAGTCAATATATTTTCTATGTTGCTCATTTATTCGTAATAACATTGGCAAAGATGGAACCGATACCGGTTACCGATCAGTCATTACCAGTGTCTTATTAATTGTTTTTGTTTTTAATATTTGATAGAGAATGCGTAATGGAACTTTGTTCAAAGTTGACTATGTCAAATATCACCACTATCCATAGATAGAATAGCACTCTAACTCGTCAGTCCAGTTTTGGTATGACTCCAGATCGATCGATAACTAATAGTTATCGCTATATCGCAGTAGAAATCCCTGCATCTGGAATTTGGAACTCGGCTTCTTCGCAGTTGGATTTACACGAGGAAAACAGTCAGGTTCACAAATACACTTCAAGAAAAAAAGAACAGCAGAGAGCCATTTTTATTAACAAGTAACACAAAAAAGAATTATTTATGCTAGTGAAAAAAATTCTTGGAGTCGGTGTCAGAAATTTTGGCTCCGGCAAGGCTCTAATCAGAAGATAACAGACATTTTCAGTATCAAACAACTGCCAGTTCTTGTACGGCTTGAACCATATGAGATGTTCATGGTTCATTGTGAAAATGAAGGAAGACACATGAAGATTTGTTAAAATTCCATGTCTGCTAGGACAAAATTAGAATTTGGCTTGGAATAAATTTATATAGTTAAATTAATGAAAAGCTGTGTGTAAAATAAATATTTTTTATTCAATAATATCTTCTTGTTTTCTAAAACACTTTAAAATTCAAAGAAGTTCAGGTTATCTACTCATATTTGTACAATCATTTTGTTTTGAATGGTGTTTTCTGAATGCAATTGAAGACAAGATCTTCAATATATCATTACAAAACACTTTGTTTCTCGAAATTTTTTACTCAACGAAATTCGTATGTTTTATAATCAAGCGATTCTCCATTATCTATTTGAATACGTATTGAGTCCGATGCAGACAATTTTTTTCTTATTTCATTCTACTTTTTTGTGAAGCACGAAATTGCATAAATTTATTTCTAGTCAACTTGGAACTTTGATCAAATCTCAATTTAGCTAACAACATAGTTGACTTAAATTTTGTTTTTCTTGAAATTTGATTTTCTGAAACATTTTTGTATCTAGCCTATTTTTTATATTGAATTGATTTTCTAACACATTGACTCAAGTATGAAGCTGTTTCAAGCAAAACATCGAATAGATTTAATGAGCTTTACATAAATCAATTATTTTAATCGTGTTTTCTGATGTAAACTGTTAACATAATTAGATTAATTTGCATTATTTCATCACTACAACTAAATTTATATATCAAATAAATGATTTCTTTTACTAAATTTTCATTATCACTAACAGAAGTAAATAGACTTATTTGAATCAATCAATTAAAAATCATTTTATACAAGTTATAATTTAATCAAATTGTTTTGGAATATGATTAAACTAGATTTCAATGATAATACTCTCACTGATTGATTTGAAATATTTTTCAAGTGTTTTCTTTTCATCGAAAAAATCATCCCTTGTTTTCCTCAGGTTTGCGTAAAAAAAAAGCTAATCTCAATTAAAAAGTTATTTTGATAGTGGAAGAAAAGTTCTACCCACGTCCTTTGTTACGGTGTCCATATACGAGTCATTTATATGCAGTATTTCGTTGTAAATCTGGTCCATGATTTACGACGGTACTTACGACCAACATAAACGGCCTTTTACCATCGTATCTATACATGAGCTTTTTCTCATTGAAGAAAGGCGTTTCTTTCCATTACACTCTCCTGTGGGATGTGGATGTACGCGAAGACAAAATCTATACCTACACATCCATACCCTCCAATAGACTGTTATCGCAAAATTCGATTTAGTTCTACATGTTGAACTAAAGATTTTGTCAAAAGTCTTTTTCATACTGAGATCACTCATTGCTGAGCATTTCAGCCCAGATGGATTATTCTAAGTGATAAACTTATCGTGATATGCATCTTTAAACATTCATTATTAATCATTAAATATATAGATTCTGCAAAACTGTTGGTTTTGCTAATAATATTAAATCTCGATTGTTGTTGATTAGTATGTACTAATATATTAGAATAAAGGCATGAAAATTAATGATGAAGATTTTTTTTAAATAAAATTTTCACCTACTATGCCTTCTAGAGAAATCGATGCATCATATGGTAACTTATATCTACATACTATTTTGATTTAAGATACTTGAGAATCTCAATTTAACTATTGAAGATGCAAGTCATGAACTAACATGTTACTGTTTCAAGACTTCTATTCAAAGAGAAGTCAATATTTGATCAAAAGAAAAAAAAATGAATTTGCTACACCATTTAATTTTCTTGGGGTATTAAAACAAAAGGCATTGAGTAGTCAAGATGTTTGCATGATTTTATTGACTGAACGAAATTTGTTATAGTCCGAAGATTGAAATGTGAATTCTTTGATATTAAAAATTCCGATGATCTTTATCACAAGTTTTGTTTTAATTTACAATCGTGAATAATAATGAAATGAGTTATTATTTAATAATTTCAATAAAGATTGTTCTCCGTTATATATCTAAATTTATCAATTAAACTATTTGTCTGAATAATAATGACCTGATGAGCAAGACTTTCTTCAATTGAATTTTCATGATATATTGTGACGACGGGGGTGTTTTTATTCTGAATCACTACCAAAATCCTTCTCTCTCGATCTCCGGTAGACCGACATTCCTAGCTAGTTCCACTTGCGAGTTATAACACTTTTTCTTCGACCTCAGATTTCCGCCTATTACCCGGTTATCAACCAAAAAAGCAACTAGGAAAGGATAGTTTACCATGCTGAGCCGATTGGTGATATTTTTGTTTAAGTTTGAACTAATCGGACACTTTTGTTTCAATATGTCCGGAATATTGACTTCTTCGTTAAATGGGGGTTAATTGTGAAATTTCACGAATATTGAGATAACAGTGTAAGATTATTTCAAACCTAAAAACAAATATCACCATTCGACTCAGTATGGTGAAGTACCTTTGCCCTGCTTCTTTTTCAGGCGATCATCGATTAGTGGACTAAAATCAAGAGTCTCAGGAAAAGTCCTAAAATTCTAGAATGAAACTACCTTGGAAAGTCAGTCTTTCGTAGATCGAAAGTGAAAAGTTTTTTTCTGTTGATTAGTCCTATTAAAAGTCTAAATCGAAAACAAAATGACTTCAGAATATCGTTTTCGAAAATCTTTGCCAAGCACTTCCTTGATTGGTCAATCGATGACTAAACAAATTTTTATAGAATTTGATGGCCACGTATTTTTTATCTCTTGAATGATGAAAACCGTACTCTCTAATTCTTTCTGTTCTTGAGTTTATAAATCAAATGCTTATAATATGAATAAAAATATTTATATAATTCCTGAATAGACTTACAGTATAAATCTCGTTTATATGTTGTAATCACCAATGGATGTGGATAGTTTTCATTTGACTGTTCAATAGTTACATTGAATGATAGAAGTAAATAGAGAATATTTTCTTGTCCATTAAAACAAGCTAGATGAATTGGATAACATTTATCATTATTAGGTTGATCAGGAGGATAAGCACCTTGACGTAGTAAATAATCGACTAATTCATAATCATTTCGTTCAATAGCCATCAGAAGTTGTGTTTCACCTGAATTCGTACATTCATTTAAATCAAAATCTCCATATTGACAAAGAAGTTTGACAAGTTTTATTGAACATTTATCTGAATAGCAAACAGAATGAAGAGGATTTGTTCCTAAGAGTGAAGAAAAAGATAATTGATTTTCCTTGTTTTTTTTTGCAATCAGATAAAAGACTAATTACCTTGATTTGTTTTCAAATCAAATTTTGCTTTAACTTCGAGTAACAATTGTAGACATTCGACTGAACCATAATGACAACAAGCATAAATAGGATTGAAAATAAGATCATGCTCAATTTTGATCTAAAAACATAATTTTTTTAAATCTCTTACCATTTTGCTTTCTTCATTTGTAACATACCAAATTGATTAACATCAAGTCCCATTTGAATTAATTTTTCAAGTACATCTGTATGTCCATAAAAAGCTGCAGCTGTTAATTTGTTATCTATTTATCTTCATTTTGATGTTTATTGATCAGAATAGAAAAGTTTGTTTTATTCAATGAGAGATTTTATTTCGAATATCTTTAAAATGAAAGAATCTCTCGTTTTTTATTCCAGTCAATTGGCAATATCGATTGAAATGAGATGAAAATGAACGTGTTTTTGGTTTAATCATTTGATCAATGAAAGATATGTAAAAATCGATTCGGAAAAAATTTTCTTCCAAATGAATTGTTTTTCTTTGAGAAATGACAAAAACACTCATTTAATCGAAGAAAATCTGTTTGATCGATTCTTCTCGAAAAATATACTTTTGATCACCAAAAAAAGAGACATTTGATCACCAAGTTAATTAACTTGTAATGTTCGATAATATATTACTTTTATGAGATATAGATAACATGGTTTTGATAAATCGNAAATCAAAACGATAGCGCGAAATAGCAATTTTAGATGCAACAATTACTATCATTTGAAGCTAAGCACATTTTGAAAGTCAATTATAACATTATTGTGCTAGCAGTGATTCGGTACTTTTCATATTCTTGAAGTTTTACCAGGAAAGGCAGAATAGTATATCGTTGCTCTAAACTCTTCAGTCGAGGGTTAAGCGAATCGCACAGCGACGAGCGTTACTTGTCTGTATTTACATTTGATGTACCCATGGCGTTCCTTTGATCTAGTCTTCTTGATTGTTGCTGATCCAATATAACTTTAGCTCTACTCTGCCAGTATTTATTCAGTATACATGTTTATTCGATATCTGCATCCATTCAGATCCCTGATCATAATCATGATGGTAACTATGACTGGGGATGGGCGCGCGAGAAAAAAGTGAGATGTAACATCCCTCCTATTTTATTATTTGTCTATGCAACACCCACTGTCCTGTTCTGAGTGGTGAATTATGCTTTTGATGATGACTCAAAAAATCTACCATTAAACCTGGTGCACGAAAAGAGCTTACTATGTACAATCGGTTCTTGTCTTGTGTGCAGTGATTTTCACTTGAAATGATTGATTTCTTTTACAAACATAAAAGTATTAAAAAACCCTTTCGAAACTCGATGAAAAAGGTACCCAAAGTCTATTAAATTGAATTCAGTTCGCCTATCTATCTCATTTCACAAATTCAATAACTGCATACCGTAATTGTGATATATGATTCTGTTAGCTATCTGGTCTTCAAAGTATAAATTAAAACTAAAAAAAAAAGGATCATGGAATAAGAGAGACAATGTTTTAAAAAACGTGTAGCGGACAGACACACACACTCATATATAGAATGAAAGGTATTTAAATGAAATATACAATAAAAAAACATTACCACTTCTATTCTATTTGGATTCACTGGTTTGAGGTCGTCAATGATGATGATGCATCGATGAATGAAGTCATTGGAATCTGCTTCCGTGTTTATACAGAAAATGTTACACATAAACTACGAGATAGAGATGATTCGAAAAAAGTGTTTCTTTCCTATCAATATGACGTTATGTAAAAGAGAGAAAAAGAACAATTAGCATGGACTGGATTGGAAATTACTCGCGTTTCGTCAGAGAATGAAAGAATGAATTATAGGAATGGAAAAATCTCACCATCTTCTAATAAGCTGGAAGAAATAATCTTTGCTCTTAGCCTGATTTTTCGTTGCTGCTCATTCTGTGTCATCATATCACATCATTATGGAGAAAATCTCACCACTTATGACCATATTATTTATTGCGACGACAAAATAAGACAACAATAAAACGTTTCATATATAAATGCTGGATCAAAACACTTATTGATTTATATACTGTTCTACTCGATTACTTTAATTTCGATCGTCCTCTGCAAGCAAAACACACACAACTTCATACAAAGCAGGTAGAGTTGAGAGTAAACTGTTCTTTCTTGCAACATCGTCATTATCATCCGAATACTTTGTGCAGTTATTCCATTCTAAAACGCCATTGATATCACTGCAAAATAGCGAAAAAAACAAGGTAGTCGATACTAATATCCGATGTGACCCTGTTTTTGGTTACAACTATGTGAATTAGATCATGACCAGAACCATGGCCATTCCTTTTAGTTTGTTCTACATTAATTCGATATTGCTCAATGAAATAGTTAACAATAAAGTTACCGTTGAACTGCCTTTCTAACAAAATATAGACTTTTATTATTTTTTCTGTCATAGGTAGTATGCTGTAGAAACAATTTTTTCCACACTCGTTCCGTAATGCTTTCAGAATTCTTATTTCGATTCCATGTTTTCTGTTAGAGAAAAGCTATTATCATTAGATACCAGCATCTGACAGTATCACATTTCGGACAGTTGTGAGATGGAATTAAATTAAAAATAAAATCATCATCGGAGAAGGGCAAGATATTTCAGTAAAATAGATCAGCTATTGTTTATATGTCGAAATTTATCAACATTAAATTAAGAGAACTAGTTTCTTTATCAATTGAATAAAAAAAAAGAGAAAAAAAATGTAACAGCGATGAAAAAAAGAAAATATTCAAGAGAAAATAGTAATAATACTACATTGTAACAGAACCCAAACCAATAATTCTTTGGAATATGATAATCAAAAAGGATTAATGAATGATGAATGAGCTTGCTTGATTTTTGTTGACAAGTATTTGTTTTTTTCTAATAAATAAATGATACAAAAGTGTATGTAAGAATGTTGAAATGTATTCCTTAAAAATGCAGCATCAAATAGATTAGGAACGTTTTCGTTCGAAAGAGCGAATTTTAGAGAGTGTATACATAAATCAAAACAATTTTCTGCAAGTCCATTGCTTAATATTGTTCCTGTTCTCAGATCCAACAGGAAACTGAACGAGAACAACGTAAATAAAACGTTTGGGCAGGATACGGATCACATGAGATATTAGAATTCAGAAAAATTATTAAATTTCAATAAGACGAACAGAAATGTTACTTAATCGTCAGTCCTGTTTTTTAATTTGTCTTAGGAAAATTTTTAATTTTTACTGAGCTATGACTTTTCCTGTAACATTTATATATAGTCATTTTTATATAGAAAAATTAAATAAATTATAGCAATCAGTTAAAGATGTGAACTATCTGATTATTTCAACAAGCGTGGCTGTTCATGACTCTCATGAGTAACGGCGATTATGTCATGCGCTAGTCGATACATATTCTTCTTGTAATAAAAATAAATCAAGCACATAATATTGCTCTATGAACAATACAATGAATCTGATAATATCCTACGGCACAAAAGGAAAATACCCAAGAGAGAATAAGTCAAAATATATCGTTCAAATAGAAATGAAAATAGAATAAGAAAATACATATGACGTAGCGACAAGAAAAGAAATACAACATATAGAAGAACGCACAAAAATTATAGATGATAATAGCTGATTATAATACTTTGAAACAACTTTTCATCAGATGAGATCTATGAAATACGCATTCTCGATGCATGTTCTTTTTCAGAGCGAAGAAAATAAATTGTCAGATTGTGCTTTTGTAATTATTAGCAACACTGAACGGAGGTTTTCCTGACTTGAACTGCCAGACTATTGCCGAAATTTGAAATAATCTCATAAGTCTTATGAGGAGTAGTGTGTTGGATTTTCGGGTCATCGTTAGTGAATGATTAAATGTTCGCTAGTTTCACATTTCCTTTGAAACAATTTAAACTATTTACTCATATATTACAGTCCAAAAAGTAGAAAGTTGTTTCAGTCATTTGATATTGAACTGTTGAAATTATTAGATACATTGTCACACCTTAAACGTGCATTTCAAGATATACGATTGAGAGCTTTAAAAATGTAAATTCTTTCTCTTAGTATAGAATATAGCGTCTATTTCATAGTGAATAGAACCTCACTGATCATGTTTGACCAACAGATCCATTTAATATCACTCGGCATTCATTGCAAAGAATCTCTAATCGTTAACATTTGACATTCTTTCTTTTCAGAAGTTTTACAAAGTGAACAAGGAAAACTACAGTCGAGGTGATAAAATGATTAATATTATTTCGTCTTTGACTTTATTTGGACTTTTGATTATCAATTACGTGTCTGCTACATGGCCAAAACCTACTGATGGTCAGGTTTTTGGAGTTCATACAACGTATCATGGTGCTTACGAAGTGGGTGCATGCGAACTTCCAACAGCCAGTTATGCTATTGGTTACTCGGTCGCACTCGGAAATATTGAGTCTTTGACATATTTAAAGTTTCGACCGGAATTATGTGGTCAGGTGCTCCAAAATAACTGTGGGAATGGGCCATTGGATGTGGTCGTTATGAACTCAAACCTGGGCGGTGGCCTTGATCTATATGCTTCGACTTGGAAGATACTCACTAATAACATGTCTCCCAGAGTCACGTCATGCAGTGTGCAGTTGAGCTCTCGTAACGCTTTCAGCTTCAATGGACCTCGTTGCTACTATAAACCTGATAGCCCAGCTGATAATGAGTATTATCGTAATGTTGGACTCCTGAACACCAATGGACGTATAGTCAATAGAGCTACTATAGATAACCGTCCTGGCGAGCACCGTGGGAACAATCCGTTCTTTGCGTTCGACTTCGGTCGCCCAATCAGTGTCGACAAGCAAGTTGTTTTCACTTTCGAAGATGGAAGCACTCATACGGTTTATTTGCGAGATTGTGAATATCAGGCAAAGAAACGATTTTGGAGTTAAATGGACAATATGACATTTACTTTTAAACCAGAGCCCCTTTCATTTCTACAATAATGAACAAGATCACCGTTTATTTATATAATAAACATGATGCTGAATTTTTATCCTAGCACAACTTTGTATTTAAGTTACATGCTGTCATAAATATGCATCATACTGAAATTTAAAAGGACACAACTCACTGAGTTCGTCTTTCATGACACGATCATGAACTGACAATCACCAAGTAGTGTGCCAATAGTCTATATTCTCAGATATTCAGAAAACTCACGTATCACTTTGTGATACGGGCACATACACCCTTTCTTGTTCATATATTTGCGTTTCCTCATCGTTGAATTTCTTCTTGTTCTTAAGAATGATAATTAGAGTAGTCAGCTAGCGCGCTTAATGATTANTAGGACTTTAGTCCTATATAAGAATTAATAGTTCCTTGTTCGATTCAGTCAGAACAAGATCTGGCATATTATTAGACACTGTTGACATATGGTCTATATTTATCACTAACTTTTATCTTTCAACGAATCTTTTATCGGACAAATGAAAGGTACCAAAATTCTGGTATAGCTCATTCGATAGCGCTTTTCAAAAGCTACAAAATCGTATATTTTCTAAAGTCTAAAAAATATGGCCACTAGGAAAATTTCCAACCAAAACATGCTAGGGGTACGGTTTATGGTCATTTTTCACTAATGATGTGCCTTTGTTTTTTGAAAAAGTTCTAGTATGAGTCAAAACTAATATCAGATTCGGATTCAGCACTGAAAACTGAGTGGACTTATATATACCCCAAATCTCTCTGACGACTTTCATTTTTCTCGAAAAATTCATCCGTACCCCCCTCAAGGTACTTTTGAACAATTTTTCCTTGAGGGGGGGTACGGGTGAATTTTTCGAGAAAAATGAAAGTCGTCAGAGAGATTTGGGGTATATATAAGTCCACTCAGTTTTCAGTGCTGAGTCCGAATCTGGTATCAGTTTTGACCCACAGTAGAATTTTTGAAAAAGCATAGGTACATTTTTAGTGAAAAATGACCATAAATCGTACCCCTCGCATGTTTTGATTGAAAATTTTCCTAGTGGCCATATTTTTTAGACTTTAGAAAATATACGATTTTGTAGCTTTTTAAAAACGCTATCGAATGAGCTATATGAGAATTTTGGTACCTTTCATTTGTCCGATAAAATATCCGTTGAAAGATAAAAGTTAGTGATAAATATAGACCATATGTCAACAGTGTCTAATAATATGCCAGATCTTGTTCTGACTGAATCGAACAAGGAACTATTAATTCTTATATAGGACTAAAGTCCTATCAAGAAGCTATCAAATACATAATTTCACAACCACTTTTCCATATCAACTTACATCAAAATTGGATCGACCATCAATATGGTCGATTATTGGATTAGTGCCCAAAAATGAGTAACTTTGTAAATAGCTTTTCGCTTCAAAACTTCGATCGAAACCCCATGAAAATAGCATCAAAATGTTCATTTTAACATGCTCTTTCGAATGATGTATGATTCAATAGGCTTATCCCGAAAAATTCCTAATGGGCCGATTTGTGGTCTTATGCGCCCCCGTCCTTTATTTATTTTCCTTAAAAAATAAGTATATTTGAAGAGCATCGCTTATGTTCGTATATAGATAAAAAATTGTTTTTGTTGATCCGATGGTCAATTTTCAAGATTTTATTCTGAAAGCGTTTCTATATTTCATAATGTTATAATTATACTATGAAAAATGATCAGTTTGGCAGTTAGAAATACATTGACAAATAAGTTTATTCCGCTTGATATAGATTCAATTTTTTTTCTATGAATATTCTTATCTTTTTTTCTCCATATCTTACCAGATAAAAAACAGTTGTTTTCAGGCAGATGATCAAAAAACTTCGGCAATAAATCGTTCACATTGCCTTCAAGATTAACACCAGCACAATCTTTAACTTCAGCCAAGATCTAAAAAAGCCGAAAAACATAACATAAACCAATTAAGGATACAGATCAACTATGAAAGCTATGCGTAAAATTTGTTTGTAACATCAGTTTAATGCATTATCTGGGGGCATTTTTTCATAAAAAATAATTCATATATCAAAGTCAGTTTTTACAATAAAAGTATGACAATTGCTACTTTCTATGATAATGTCAATAAAATGAAAAATTACACTGTTTTTCGGAAACACTATAAGCAACAACAGGTTTCATATAAAAAACATTGCAATATTTCTCGGAGGTAAAATTCGATTAAATTTAAAATATTAACTAAAAGGACTTTTGATCATCAGAAAAAGCCAGTTTTAGGCGAGTTTAGAACAAGTGATCAAAATTGTTGCAAATTTTACACCTCAATATTCTGTAAGTAATAGAGAGGTGATGCTTATCGTATTTGTTAAAGAAAATTAAAGACACATTAATTAAGATCTTCGTATAAAAACTATGAAAAGAATATATGTTGTCTTTTGAAACGAATTAATTGTTCATATTTGAGTTCGTCTCAAAAAACATTCTTACTAAACTATTATCAGTAGCACATACAATTTCTGAAAGACGATAACCAGGAAAACGTTCAAGTATTTCAGTTACAGTTAAATCACGTATACATAAACGACGAATATTAAATGATTGTTGCCAAAGATTATGAAACATATCAAGATCAGGATCATCTGTAAGTAATTCTACTTTCATTGGATCAACTATAGATAAAAGATTTTCATTTTGTCGATCAGCCATACTAATAATCGGCTATTAAAAAAAACTATATGATATGATATTTAAAATAATTTCATCACTTACTATATCATTAGTTCGACCTTCAGCTTGTAAAATAGTACTTTTTTTTCGGTCTCCCATTCGTTTTACCATTACCATATTTTTCTTGTTTGCTTTTCACAAAATTAGTGGTTAATTGTAAAGGTTTACGTTCACGTTTAGATTTCTGCTTGATGCTTTCTTGCCAGTCTTTCTACAAAGACAAAACAGAAAATATCCAGTCAATTTTTCAATTTTTTTTCTTACTACCGCATCATGATACAATGCTGAAGAAACATGCAGTTTCTTTACCAAACACTTTGCCATAGTCAAGTATTCATCATTAGTTGGATAACTAAAATCAAACACATGGAAACAGGAAATATATTATGATAAATCGTAACTTACAGTAGTTTATGTGATTTGGTTACATCATCAAAAAGACACGATAGTAGTTCATCACGTAAAGCTGTATGTGGATTAAATTTTGAAATATTATTGTCATCAATGTAATGTTGCATTCTGATAGTTAAATCTGGACCTTGATAATCGGAGGGTAATTTTGCTGTAGCATAAATGTCATCATTATCATCAGGAAAATTTATACTTGATGAAAGATTAGCTTCTGTTGTTTGATGAATATCATTATTTGATTGACTTTTTTCACGTAAAACAGATGAATCAAATGTATCATTCTCTTGTACTGAATCTACAGGTTTCAATGATGATGATGCTGTTAAATCAAATACATTAGTTGTTGTTGTTGTTGTTCCATCAGTATTTTCATTTTGTTCGTTCAAGTTTGAAGTTAATTTTGCAAGTTGATTAACAAATTTTACACGATCTTTTATTCGAGGAAATATTTCGGCAATATCATTATGTTGAAGTAAAACCAATGTTGAGCCATCAATGTCTTCGTCTAAAATAGAGAAATAGATCTTTTAGTCAAAAAATAACCAGATGTCAAAAAAACATCATTGTTCACTAGAAACCGTTCTTATTAAACTTAATATTTTTTCTCTTACGTAAGAATATAAAAAATAACAGCATTGTTTTTATTGTTTAGTTAAACGCGTTAAAACATTTATATAATGTGCTTGTTCAACATCATACATATCTAGACAACGAGGATATATATCAAAAGAATGTTCAATATCAATTTTAACCAAGGTTCCCGTAAATGCAACTTCATACGAACATAAATTTTCATCAAATGAAACTGTATTTAACATTTCGGCAATGATAGTTATTTTTTCTTGGATGTTTAATAGATGATGAATCTGGCAAAATACTGGAATTTCTTCAGCATGTGCAAGATGATGAACAACAATTGATCCAGTTCTAACATTCATATGATGGTAATCAATCGAAGTACATTCATATACTAAATCAGTTTCATTTATAAAATTTATCAATAAACGTCGCACAGGAATAGAAAATTTTGACCATTCGATTGATTTAGACGATCGAACTGTTATTGATGATGAATAGCAGAATGAATTGGAATTGTTCAACATACAATAACGTAATTGATGACGTTTCGTGAGAGTAAGCAGAGGATTTTTAAAATTACATATTCGAATAGCAATTTGCTTAAAATACAAATGCTTTGCTTCGAATCGTATACAGGAGTTCAATACAGGGAGTTTATGCATTTCAATAGAACGAGTATACTCCATTAAAAAATGTACTTTTGGTGTTACATGATCAGGTAAATGTTCGATCATAAGACAATGAAATTGTTTACATAAACCATCTAAGTACGATAACCATGATTTTCTAAGTGGATTGGCATATATGTAGCTTATAATTTCACTTAAAATAGTGTATAGTGGAAGTAGAGTAAGATCACCAATAATAACGCGAAAGATGACAGGAAACAAACGAAAAAAACATAATTTTTGACTAGTAGTGCCAGCCATATTTGAATGAGTTAGTTGTTGCTTTTTTACAGGTGGTGGTTTATTTGATGAATCATAGAATCCATAGATGAAACATGATGTGCGTTGTTCAATATCTGAATAAGTTAAAAGACGTTGTTGGATAGCTTCTTTTAATAAAGCATTTATGATGAGCGGGCACACACCTCAATTAAAAAAGAAGAATTTTTTTGTATGCGAAACTACTGTCCTACTCATAGTATTACCTTCAGCGATATCATGCATCAGGTCTGGTGGAAGTGATTCGGTAGCATGAAAGCCAATAAGATCTTTCAACCAACTTTCATTTTTAACACCTTGAATAATGTGACCATCATGATTGGCGATAACTTTATTGACAATCATGTCATGTTCTAAGCGTGTTCGTGGTACAAATGATATATCAGTTAATGGGATATGCCTTTGTTCATAAGTAACGAAACAATGACGACAGAAGCTGCCTGAGCTAAAACTTTTCTGAAAGCCTCCAACTTCGTTGGACGCTAAATTATCACCACACAAAGTAGAGAAAACGAAATAAATTCTACTGGAAAGACAAGGAATTGTGATGCCTTCAGTTTGCAGTTTATTAAGATCTTCCACAAGTATCTTCATTAATATTAATCTACTGTTATCTTTGTTCAAATGTTTTGTATAATATATACAATGTAAACCTATTGAATTAATTTGTGAGCGAACGATATCAGGTAAATCATCCAACAAATAATAAAAACAAGTCAACTTGTGTAAATCTTTCTTAGGACCTATTGGATTAGTAATAGTAATACCATCTGTATACAATTTCAATAATAATGAAGAATTAGAATTTGTTTTGGCAAGGAAGATTTGATTTAGCTGAACGACTTTGCCGATTGGATAATATTAGATCGTTGTCTTTAGTTGCACGAGTTGATAAAGAATTAATATTATCAATTATCGCCTGTAGTAATTGACCATTTTGAAGCATACAAGACAGGCTATGTTTCAATGGAATATAATAAGCATGTTCATCATTTGTATGCAATACGATTTCAGCTGGTGGTTGATAGTCGAAATAATTTTTACAGTGTTTTAAAAAGTTGTAGTCACTATTACTAATAGAATTTATAATAAAATTTACTTGTGTGAATATTGCTTCCACATCAATAATAGGCATGAAGGCTGATGATGCCTTTGTTTTAATCAATTTGATAATTATGTCAAATAACGAACAAGTTTTAGATGAAATAGATTGTACGACTTTTTGAGGAAGAAGATGATATTCGCGAAGCTCAAGAAGAAAGCGAGTATAGAATTGTGCAAGTTTGCTGAAATAAAGTTGTTCATTATTAATAGACAACGTGGGGGAATCGAAATTAAGAAATTCATGATCTGTATCATGAAGTTCTTCATCAGGATAGATACATGATTCAGGATCATTAATAGCATCTGATTCGTTGCTAAAAGTAGGATGACAAAATAAATTCTCAAGATCATCCACAATATCATCAGTATTCGATGAAACAGTATCATTATTGTCAGACGAATCGAGAAGAGAGCGATGACAACAGTAAATATGGTTACGATAACTATCAAACGACGAGTAACGAGATCCGCAAAATGCATCTAATTCACAGCGAATATTAAAAGGCGATTCTTCACGATGTTCATTGCGAATATGTGTAAATAACGTACGATAATTGTGGAAAACGCTTGAGGATATACACAGTGGAGAAAAATAATGTTGTTGAGACATTTTGACGGCGCAAAGACCAAAAATACTTAACGTTTATATTAGGTAATCAAATAATTTTATTAAACTAAAAAGTAAAGCTTCAAATATTGATCTATGCTCCTCCTGAACAACAAAAATATAGCAACCTATGATTTCGAAAGTATTTAACAACGAACCAACGTTCTGCATTGCTAAATGAGCATTTTTCAGTTCTTTCGTTACCGCGACACAATAATTTATATTACAAACATCGGAAAAAAACATTAATTCTTTTGAAATAATACAAAATATAATTTTAGCGAAAGAAACACGACAATGTAGCGTGATACAGTTCAAGGTTACCATGGAACTGCATTCGTTGTTGATTTACGAAATTTCTCACGCATCCATTAAAATCAAACATTCCCCTCATAGAAACTGTTCATTTTGACAAGAAAACATATCTCGCTTAGCATACTGAAAAAAAACAACAAACGAGAGCTGCTGCCCTATCAATACTAATATTCATTTTTTTAATCATCCACATCGCAATACGATTACAACATGTAGCGCAGTAATACAAATAATAGAAAGCAAACATTACCTCGAAAATGTCGTATTATTGATTCATCATCAATGAACGTCTCCAGCCAAGCAACCACTTGTGAACTTGTCAATTTATCCATTAAAAAAAGCAAAATGTCTAAATAAAGCAAAATCAATCAGCGTTTCAAATAAATGGCTTAAAAAAACACGAATCTCATTTATTAATGAAAGCTCTGCTTACGAGATATGCAATGGAATAGAACAGGCTTGATCAATACACCACAAAGAATAATTATAATGTCTGAGGTGTAATTGCTTCAATTGACCTAAACAAGAATATCCAATACAATTATAAGTTTAAATCTTTTTTTTTCATACAGACGAACCAGCTTCTTATTTTAGATAACGAAAATGTTGTACTTAAACGATTTAATTGATTACGATAAGCTTTAGTGTTTTACTGCAAAGCAGAAGAATTATGATATTTGAGTTGTAATCGTTTGAATTAATCTGAAAGAGAATGTTTAAGTAACTTCTAGCTTTTCGATTGTTAACTAATAAATGTTTAATAGAAAAATATTGAACATGGATTTGATTGGTTATTTATTTGAAATTGAATTTTCGACGGAGAATAGCGACATCCACATGGAGAATGAGGTGGATCGAAGTACAAAAGCAAGAATATCAGGCTTCGTATGTCCATAGTAGGCTCTTATATATTGAAAATGGAAATCGGAGAGTATGGTTAATATTGAAACAATTAATTAGTGAACTTATTGTTGCCACTGCCTCTGTTCAATATCGAAATCTTTTTTTCCAGAAATTTTTGTGTTTGTCTATTATGGAGATGTTGTTTGATACTTTAAATCCCTGACTTCGTTTTTAATGCTTTGTCAAGTTATTTCATTCTCTTCAAGTGTAAGTTGTGATTCCTTGGCAACTACACCTACTTTTTAATTATTGGCAACATGCATTTTTTTAATTCTTTTGCGTGCTGAACATTTGGATCTCGCAGCTCGCTAGATTATGTTAACTATTTATTGGTTTTCTAAGTAACCTTCGTGTTTTCAGTATCGTTTTTGGAACTCTCTCATGGCTTGATTGTTATTTTTATTTGTTGCTGAGAAGTAAGCATACGGACAATCGTTTTTCCACGACGCCTCCCTGATCCTTACGATTGTATGTGTTTCACTTTGGAGAGACCTATGGATAACTGTGTAAAGAAATATTCTTAAATAAGACCATACTGAAGGTAGTACTGAGGTCTTCACGATTACGAGACAGCAAAACAACTCTCGATAGTGCTCAAAACCGCATAAACTGTCGTAGATAGTATACAAAACGTTTTACTATTAATGAAACCATGGAAAGTTATATAAGAAAACTGCAAAACTTTCAGGTAATCTGCGAAACCATCAGTCGTTTTGTATAAAATTTACTAAAACTTAAAGCGGCTCAGATAGTGGCAAAAAGGTCCGCACAAATAATACAAAACCTTTGCATCATTTAAGAAGCCATCAACCATTCTGCATAAAATATTCCGAACCCTTTGACAGTTTACAAAACCCTCAGCGGTTTCGTATAATACATACTAAACCTTAAAGCGACTTAGGTAGCGGAGGAAAGTTCCGCACCAATAATACAAAACCTTTGCATCATTTAAAAAGCCATCAACCGTTCTGCATAAAATATTCCGAACCCTTTGACAGTTTACAAAACTCTCAGCGGTTTCGTATAAAATATACTAAACTTTAAAGCGACTTAGGTACTTGCAAAAAGTTCCGCACACATAATACAAAACCAACGGACCATTTACGAAACCATCAACCGTTCTGTCTAAAATGTGCCAAACCTTTTGACTGTGTTCGAAACCACCAATGGTTCTGTCAGAATATTACAAAACTTTCTGCCATTCTACGAAACTATCAGAGGTTTGGTATATGATCTACGAAATCACAGAGAGCTTTACGGATCCTATAAGGAGTTTTGCAGGTAAATTTCAAAACCCTATGGAATCTGCTGAACTTAAAATAGTTCTGAAAGCAAATCATGAAACGATTTGGGCACCCCAAAACTTAAAATAGTTCGGTGCAAAGTTGCAGAATTTTTAAGCTTCTGTAAAAAACCGATTTTTTTTTAGAGTGTACAGTCTCTCTTTCATTGGCATGGCATCCATTTGAGAAAGAAAGAAACGAAATAAAAAAAAATTATTTTTACTCTATCACACGTGACTCCGCTCCATTAAGGTATTCTCTCTTTTCTTTCGTTCTTATAATGTACAACAAATAAATACAACGAAATTTTTTCGCTTGACATGTGCTTTTCTCCAATATTCAGTATGCAAAAAAAATATTTATTCTCTTTACTGAATAAACGAAAGGTGAAAAATAGAATCATCGCGAATGTAGTTGAGTAAGACATTTATATTTCTGTGCGAGATAAATGATATGCATTTTTTGATTGAAAGATTTTTTTATGATTTAACATTATACTAGACAAAGAAATGGAAAAAAAGAAGTTCGCCGTTATCGGTGGAGGTTGGTCTGGTCTATATGCTTTGAAATACTTGTTGGAAGAAAAACTTGATGCTCGACTCTATGAACGTGAATCAAATCTTGGTGGAGTATGGCTTTACAAAGAAGGAAAGGGTGGTGTTTATCAGTCGACACATGTCACTTCATCAAAAACGTATCTTCATGCCTCCGATTTTCCTCTACCTGATGAAACACCTCATTTTCCAAAACATGATCAAGTACTTGAGTATTTAAATTCCTATGCCAATCATTTCAATTTATGGTCTCATATGCATTTCGAATATGATATCATTAAAGTCGACAAAGAACGAAACGATCAATGGAAAGTGACATTTCGATGTGGTGAAAAAGAAATAAAAGAAGATTTTGATGGATTAATAATAACCACTGGACAACATCAAACAGCTAATGATCTTCATCATGTTGAACCGTTCGATCGATTCACAGGAACTACATCACACAGTATTTCATATAAGAAACCTGATGATAAAATTCATCGTGATAAAACAATTCTGATTGTTGGTGGAGGTGAAACAGCTAGTGATTTGGCTGTTGAACTTTCGACAGTTGCTCGTCGAGTTTACATGAATATTCGAGATGGTCAATGGTTTCAAGAAAGTCTCTTTGGGGATCAACCAGCTGACGTTCTTTTTCCTAGGTCATTCGGATTCTTTGGTTTATACGACAACATATTGATTAAAATCGGATGGACACTATTTATTCGACCTTTCTGGGGCGAAGGTGGAACAGGTATTCCGAAATGGAAACCTCGATGTCAACTTTTCCATGGTTTCATTAATAAAAGTCGAGGAGTCGTCAATAAAGTAGCATCAGGAATGGTTATACCAAAGAGAACGATTAACAGCATTAAAGAACAATTAGTGACCTTTGATAATGAGGGAAAACCGGTGCATATTGATCATATTCTATTTTGCACTGGTTATCGATGGTTTCATTCATTTTTCGATGACAATTTCAGAAAAGAAGTTAGTTCTTTTACTACTTAAATTGAAAGAAAAATAATTAAATTTAATTCATTTGTTTAGACCAAGATTGAATGTCTTTATCAACTAATCTTTCCTGTCAATCTTCCTAATCTTGCTTTTATTGGAAGTGCTCGACCTGTATTTGGTTCAATTCCATCGCTTGCCGAATTGCAAGCTCGCCGTGTTGCTCAAGTCTTTTCTGGCAGAGATCGTCTCCCTTCACCAATAAATATGGCTATATGGCTACAAAAATACTGGAAACGACATGCTCAATTGTATCCATTTGAAGGACGTCTTAAGCAGCTTGTCAACCAATTCGAGTATAGTGATTTCTTAGCTAATCAACTCAAAGTCAAACCTCGTTTATGGAAGTTATTTTTTTCCCAACCTCAAAAATGGTACACTATTTACTTTCAAAGTCCCTGGACTGCTTTTCTTTTTCGTATGAACGCAATTGAAACCAAAGATGAAAAATTAGCCTATTCAAGACATATGAAATGTATTCCTCGACGAGATCAAGTATTTTCTCGTTTTGCATTTCACATTCAAATTTTCTATCTTTTTTTCATTATTTTTTTCGGAATACTTTTTTCTTTTTTTTTTAGTTTATATTTTTTAAAAGATCTCTATTAATTCAATAAATCTATTAAAATTATATTCTATTTCTGAAATAATATTACATATCATTAATTAAACTTCATTGTTCATTTAAAAAAAATATTTGAAAAATTTAGAAATTAGTTTTATAAATTTATTCAGATAATGAATATTATCTTTAATAACATATTTCACTGTCTCACTTAATACATGTCACAGACAAATTTGAATTTCAGACGAAATTGTTTTTTTTTGGCGCTTCTATCAAGTTCAATTTTGACTAGGTAGAATTCGTTCTCTGTTCGTGATTATTTTATTTCATCTAACTACCAATTTCTTTCATTTTCATAAACAAAGTTCATTGAGTGTTAAATAGCTT